CTGAAAACCCACTTCATCCTTCAAAGGAGCAGTGGTGGAGCTGCTACCTTGCTACTGCAGAGAGAGAGGAGGAGTGACGAGGAAAGCAGAGGAGGTCGTACAGCAGTGTGCTGGTGGTTTTGACACAACATCCAGGGGTGGGAGGTTTTCTGTTTCTAGCATGAACTTGAGCAAATACTTGTCTCTAACATCAGGATTGCTTTGTCAGGTCTCTAACCAGCTTGGTGGAGGTGACAGAAATAAAGCTTAAGTCTTTATATTCTGCAGCTGCTATTCAACCCTGCTGCAGGAATTTCTCCTACTTGCTTTAGAGAAGGACATGCTTTAAGGTTAGAACAGCTTGAAAGCCTCTAAGAAAACATAGCTTTTCACTCGTATTTTAAAAGCCAAACTCAGCATTATTAATCATTTCCAGGTTATGAAGATTCAGTCTTAGTCAGAAGTCTAGTTGCAGTAAATGCCAATGCTAAAACCACTAATTTAAAACACCATCATATTTTCTGGGTCTTGATAGCAGAAGTGTGTGCTATTGTTTCTGAGAGAACTAGGGTCTTCAGATTAACCTGGAATGTGTCCATTAAAGCTCCTGTTGAAAAGCGTAACTTCCACTGAAGTCTCAGAATCCAGTAATGGATTTGGGGCCAACTCACACTTCTGTGTGTCTATAGTCAGCGGTGAGTCCACCAGGGCTCTGAGATTGCCTTTTTCCTTGGTCACCTGGGGACAGTTTCTGATGATCCTGCAGAGTGCTTCTTTCCAAACAGAAAAGAAATCATTCTTGACTCTCCCTACTAACATTAAATGCCTGTCTCTTCTTCCGGAACATGTGCTCACCACGTGAGCACCTTCCCTCCTTTCCACAATGTGGACAGAGCCGGGGACGTGTACTATTTAATGACATTCTTCCACCATGTTTTTATCAACATTTCCCAGCAGTTATTCAAATAGAAGGATGATAACTGGGGATTATTTCTTTTTTATTCCACTGTAGAGGATGCTGTAGTGTAACACTACAGCACTTACCATGCAATTGTGATGGCACGTGATGGTGATGTTTCCAAATAGTCTGTCTCACAACAAAAGGTCAGCAAGTAACCACTCAGAGAGATACAATGACAGACTCCCTTTCTACCTGACATGCAATCTTTCCAGAAAATGAAGACACAGATTAGCGAGTACTCTTGTGAAACATAGAGTGAGAGGTGTGTGTACAAAGCCAATTAAGGAAAGAATTGCTTTTTGCGGCTTTTTTGCTGGTGCACTCTTTCGGAAATTAACCTCCATATACTAATTAACCTCTGGGTGACTTTATGTAAATTAGATGGCATTCTTTGCATTATTGCTGTGGTAGTGCAAGTGATTTAAAGTGATATAAAGTGCTTTAAAGGTAGCCAACAAAGTGGTTTTTTTCCAATGTATTAAACTATAAAGATGTTGGAATGATCAGGCTCTCTTGGAATGTGAAATGGATGAGGAGAAGGAGGAGAAAAGGTGAAGGGATCTGAAAGATACTGGGAAGACACACAGAGTTCATGGGCTGCATCCTCAATTTGATAAACACCAGGACCACTAGTTCAATGTAGAAGTTTCGAACTGATGTCATGTCAGGACCTGATCTCAAACACTGAAAATAAATATTAAGAATGTTAACTGGAGTCCTAGAGCCCTTGGCAACCTCAGAAGAGTAATCTCAGTAGATCACAGAGTATCATTAGGAAGCCAGGTCATTGGCTTCGCTTACGATGGATGGCTTGCTGTGCAGTTAGTTTTCCTGTATGTCTTGAGACATCAGGAACAGAGTCTAGTGAGGAAAATTAACTAAGTAAATAGTGTCCAGATTTATAAAGATCTGTTGTAACACCTTATAACATTTCAGAGCAGAATTACCCTCTGTGACCTGGTGTTAACCACAAACACCCAAAGCACTTGGGACAGCAAAGGCATAGGAGCAACCAAACCAGTGTCAAAAGAGCTGGAGTACATGCTGAAGCCAAGTGTGCTCCTGATGCCCACTGAAGTGTTTGGCACAAGAGAGATATCTGTTAATGTCACTAAAATTTAGAAGCCTGTTTTAGGATGAGATAAGTCAGAACCTAAATGTGAATATCATTCATTAGGGAGGGTGGAAGGGTGGCTGGTCCTAATGTAAATGCCTACAGTCCACATTTTGTCAGCAATACCCCAGTCCCTCAGGCAAGAACAGCTAATATAAGGAGTGGTGCTGGGAGATGAGAAAGATACATCACCTAGGTGCCTTCTGTGTATTATTATTATTATTAATAATAATATATACATTGTGCATTAAAATGTGATTATTGCTTATTATTACATATCATATATATATGATTGTCAGGGTACTGATGCATCATTTAGAAAAAGAAAGTGGGAGCTTATTCATGCCCTGGAAAAGATGGTTGAGGTGCTCAGCTTGAGAGAGTACCAGGCTGTGATTCTCAGCTCCATAAAGCTACTGCTTTGCAGCCCGTGTTTAGACTCCTTAGGTGCTGAGATGGGGAAACTCACATAACTGATTTCAGTGGCTTTTCTTGGTTAGTTAAGAAGTTTCCAGCACAGTACTCTGGCTGTGGTGAATCCCAGGCCCCTGGTTCTCCCTGTGACATATACAAAATGGCTATTTCGTACTGCATGGTATGAATTCAGCAGTAGGAGCCTACAAGTGATGTACCGGGGAACTCAGGATTGTCATGTTGTCTGTGGATGTAAAGCCAGAAATTAAACAGTAGAATCTAGCCTGTAAGCTCACAATTTTTCCTGGATTTTACCTGTCATCTGTGAAACGCTCAAACACTTGGAACCATGCCAAACAGCTACCTGTCTCACTGTCTGCGTGGAACAGTGGATAGTCAGGCTGAGAGATTTACTCCAAGGCAGTCCAGGCAGAAAAAAAGGACAATTTCAGAAAAATACTAGGGGCAAACTGTATCATCGATTATATCATAATGTCATTAGGTGACTTTGAATGCTGCTAGTAGATGGGGGAGTGAGTTTTCAGGATTATGGAGAGGCATGTGCCATGGTAGCCACGATGATAGAAGATTTCCGCCTCAGAGCATCCTGACCATTGAACTCTCCCCAGTTACTCTACTGGGAGAGTAGCCTGCTTGTCATCTTCCCTCCACCCACACTTTTCCCAGTAAACCTGTTCCAGGGCAAAGTGGGGGTATGGAAAATCCTGAAAGATGTGATATGGTGATATGGGTGACATGGTTTAGTGTGAAGTGCCCCTGCCCATGGCAGGGGGGTTGTAACTTGATGATCTTAAGGTCCTTTCCAACCCTAACTATTCTATGATTCTATGATTCTATGCTGAAGAAATTTCCAAGATGCTGTTTCCCTCTGCTACCTCCTTTTTGCTGAAAAGAGACATTCAGTCTGCAGCACCTTTGGCATAGCAGCACCAAGGCTGCCACCAGAGCGCTCTCCATAATATCCCCTCCTTCTGCAGAGCACTTTCAAACGTCCACCCACCACAGCTGGCATTTATTAGTGTCTCAGTTGCAGAGGCAGGTTCCCCTCCTGTGTTCATGAAAAAGAGGAGCAGAGGTCCCTAATTCTGGGGCTGTGATATGGTGATTCTTTGCAATTAGCCCAGGGTTTCCAGGTTCAGTGTAACTCTGGATTACTACAAGAGACTTACCAAAGACATGGTGGCATAGGAGGGGTGCTCCTAATAATGCTTTGAAAATGAAAAGAAAGCTTGTTTAGATGAAAAAAACCCTGTCAAACTAAGGAAAAAGACAGAACTGCCTTTTCTGTCTACCCCATGACTGGCCTCATGCTCCGGTGTGTTTCCATGGAGGCTGTTGCTGTCACTGCATGGCTCACGCTGGAGTGTCACATTGGATGGGAGCCAGCTCAACAAGAAAAATAAAGTGAGTTTTTAAGAGGTAATGTGGTAAATGTTCTTCTCAGTCTGTCTACCAATATGTGCTGTCTAGCCTGAGGCACGCAGCACATATGGGTGAAGCTACTGAAGTTTGGTACTTTTAACTTCTGGAGTCACTTTTTACAAAATCAAAGGAGACACATTGAACTAATTGAGGGAAAAAAAGATAGAAAAGATAGATAAGGCAAGACAAGGCTGAGTGATCTGATCTCAACAGACTGCCACTGCCCATTTCTCAGTTTATATTGTAGGATTTACAGGCTTTTCCACATACTGGGAGATTTTCCCTGCTCTTAGTCTCCGGCAGAGCCGGCAACTGTTCACAGCAGCAGATGGCTAGGTAACAAAGTGCCCTGACCATGCTGATGGTGCCCAGGCAGGTGATGGTGGCCAGCGCAGCAACAGATGCTGGCATCTGGGCCGCCTGCTTGGGGCAGCTGTAATGGCAGCCCTGCCCTCCTGCTCCCCCAGCAGCTGCTGGAGTAGGCAGCCTGGCTCCGGTTCCTCCTTCCTTTGTGGAAATGCAGTTTTACCTTCACTGCTCTGGTGCTGCCTGCTCTGCAGAGAATATGGCCAGCCCATTTCAGGGGTCTGTGCTAGAAAGGGCAACTTTTAAAGCAAAATAGAGGTGATGTCTTCCATTTGAAAACTGCTCCTCTCTTACTTATGGTCTTTCAAGACTCTTCAGTAGTCATGTTGTGGTGTGCCCCTGGGCTTCTGGGAGAGCATCACAACCTCCTCTTTTTCCCATCTGTCAGCTCAGTAGTGACAGTGGGGCAGACTGGAGTTTCTTTCAGCTCATTCGATTTCTATAGTTAGCATTTGCCAAGTGCTCAACCATTTGTAAAAATCATGTCATCAGTTGTCATTAGAAAGAGAATTGATAAGTGGTATTTGAGCTTTGCAGTCACTCAAATGAATTCATTCTCTCAGTTAAAAAAAAATCCCCAAACCACAAAAAAAAGCCCAGACATTAAGTAAGCAATTGCTACAATACGATGATTAAGTTTTTCATCTGTTAGAGTGATACCCAGTGGCACAACGATGGTTAATAATCTGTCAAATTCTCCATTAAAAAAACAACTCTAACACATTAAAAAATGATAATTTACTCATCTGAAATGTGGTATGTACAACTAAGTCCAGATGAAGCATCTTAATGCTTGTGAACCATCAACCTTTAGCATCCAGAAAGCATACAATCTGAAAATCTCCATGACCATGGCAATGTCCATGGTGCGCAGGTGCAAACGTAGCAATTTCAAGCCAACCTAATGAAATAACAGAAGTGTTGAAAAGAACCATTTCAAATGTGTGTCCCATTTCCAATCTGATTCTGAATCTTTTCCATTCTTGTGACCAGGTAGGTATGTCTTGGATCCACGGATTCTGGTACCAGAAAAGCCAAATTGCGTGGCCCTGAAATCAAAACAGAAGTTATCTTGGTGAGGGCCTTAGTAACACAGGAAAGCATCTGTAAGACAGGGTGGAAGATGGGAAAGGAGGAATGCTGTCTGAGTAAAGAAAAAGCATCAAAGTGCTTATTTATTTGGAGACTGATACTGTTATAATTTATTTAACACCTCCATGCAGAACAATGAACTTGGCTGAAATGAAAACAACTGGGAAAAAAAACCCCACCAGGATTTATTGAAAATATTTGATATACCTAAAAACTGTCAAGGAAAAGTGTGAAAGACTGCTATGATAATATATGCAAAGAAGACACCCCAGGTGTTTTTGGCTGCCTGCTAGGTACAAAATCACATCCATGCTCAGCTGAACATGTTCCTTTGCTAACATGCCTGCAGAATGCTTCTCAGTCCCAATGCACAAATGCTGACATTTCTGAAACCTTTCTTCTGGCTTTTAAACTGCTCCTCCAGGTCCTTCATGTGCAGAACTTCTTTTGTAGCCTATGAAACCCCTGCACAGGGAACAAATCGGGTATCACCAATTTTACAAAGACACAGTGGAGAGCAAAATAACCAGAAGCCACAGAGATCATGAGACAGCGCGAGTTACAGGGAAAACTTGGTAAGATTGTTCCTCACCATTTCTCTACATTAGCAACAGAGTAGCTTTAATGTTCCTGTGAGAATACAGCATACCTGTCTTTATAAAGCACTCTTTAAGGGATCCCCCCCTTTTTTTTAACTCCTAAACAACCAAACACCACAATATGAGGACTGAGATAATGGAATTGAACATGGAGCTTAAATCGATGTAAGAAATTTTCTCAGGGTAATGAATTTAGGATTTAGGTCCATAAATACAGCTACAAACTACAGAGTTTTGAAATGAAAGTCCAGATCGACATATTCTGTTCCTGGGCATCAAACTGACACACTGTCCACAACCAGGAAGTGCTTTTCTCCTTTTCTTTTTCTTACAAAAAATATTAGCCAAATATTGTAAAAACCCAAAGCTCCTTCTTTCCCAAAACACGTTCCTCAGTGATTTCCTACTCCCTACCATCTTTTGCTAATGTCGGATTATACTAAATAATGAACTGTTCCTCCTGTTCTTCTGCCTCTTAAATAAGACCACAACCCTTTAAAAACTCTTGCTGAAAGCAAACAAGTTTAAAATTAAGAAAAAAAATAGTGCATGGTCTCAATCCAAGGTAATAGAAAGGGCACAGAGCTTTCAGATCAAGGGAGTGAAGCATTAATACTGTGTGGCCCCACTTTCCTAGAATATGTGTCTTGGCAACATTGCTAGTCTAAATCTGGCAAACTGAGTATTTTGACCTCAGTCCCTGGCGAAAAACATTCACCTATTATATCAGATTATAATTCTCCTCTTTTGTGCAGCATAACTGAACTATTCTCCATTAGTAAGTGTGTACACTAACACTGCCACTCATACACTGAGCTAGGTTGTTTTTCTTGGGGATTTTTTAAGGAGAGGGGGCTGAAGGGAAGATGATTTCCTGATAGTCTAAGAATGAACAACTGGTTTATACAGAGTACAGAAAAGTATGAATGTGGTGTACAAAAGCTCTGATGTTCATACCCAAGAAGTATTACTGCTGATGTTTGAGTGAGTCTCATGAAATAGGATAGTGTTGCTTGTTAGTTGCACTTCCACGTTTTTGATTGACCATTTTGGTTAATGGCCACCTAGAAGTTGGCTATAAACCCTAGCGTTTGATGGCAGAGTGCCATGCGTGTTGAAACACTTTAGAAGTAGATTCAAAGAAACAGAAGCTGACATCCCTGCCCCAAAAAAGTCTGCAACCTCATACTTGATAGCAGCTATTGGATAAAGGGGCAAGGCCCACGTTTTTATGTTGGGCTTAACAGCAGTTGGAGTGGAGAAGGAGTGGAGGAAGCACTTGGCAGATGATCACAGGCTGGATTTGCAAGATAGCAACCATACTCAAAAGGCTGGATCTGCTGATGTGGTCAATTCCTTGGCAAAGAAAACTCATTTATTTGCCTGTATCCAAAAGGGAAGGCTTATGAAAGGAACTGCTAACACAGTCCCTCAACTGCAGGTATTTGAACTGATTATCTGTCAGCCCAAAGGCTTCCCTAAGTTCAGCAAACGAACACGGTCTGTCTTCTAAAATATATCACGTAATTTGTTAAAGCTTTTGTCTAACCATGCATCCCAAATTGAAAATGCATTTAGTTTTTTGTTTGGGTAGTGAGGTTGACTTTAAGTTTATTTGAGTTAGAAAATTGAATACAAGCTGAAATGGAATAAACAATAAAAACTTAAGAGTGATATTTTATAACTGGTGTTAATTTCAATGACAATCTTCTGATATTCAGCATGTCACTGATTTCTTTCAGATGTATTTTTATGTGTTTCAGGCTTGCATTGTAAAAATATGCTATTGATTTTCTGTTTTCTTTTGTTCTGAGGTTCCAGTGTGCTCTCTGCTGGTGATGCCATTCCCCATTTTGAAAAATGATTAATTATGATTAAAAAAAAAAAAAAAAGACACGCAAAAATTAAAAGGTAGAAATCGCTAAATTGCTTTCACAATTATTATCTGTTTGGTGCTGGACGAGGATCTAAGACAAAATGCAAACAGGACAACGGATATTGGGGAAGAACGGTGAAGAAAATTCTGTATCATTGGAGGACAGACACAGGAGACGTAAGAGGCTGAGTAACTCTTGAGTAAATTTTATAGGACCTTCCTTTTGGTAAGTTTGGGGAAACTCCATCAGGGGAAGAACACCTCCAAGAAGACTGGAGAGAGGAGTCTGTGACTCTGAGTGATAAGACTCAATACAAGCAAGTTAGTAGTACCGCTCTGTCAGCATTATGGCAGAAGTGGAGGATTAGGGAAAAAGTCTAAAATATGCATGAAAACACAATTGTCAAGCTTATGAAAAAGTTAAGCAACCAAAAATGTTTCGTGGGCTGATTTGTTCTCCTGGCTTCCAAAAGTATGGGTTTTCTATTTTTAGAATTGTGTTTGGCAATACACTGTTAGGTTCCTGTTTCAAAATTTAAGACTGTGTTTCTGAAAATATGGCATGCTGAAAAGTCTTGCTCATTTAACAGGAAATGTGATTAAAGTGTCTTTTCTCAAGAAAAAAAAATAAAGAGAGCTTTCTAAATCTTTAGAAATACCAAATGTTTTCAAAATGTTTCTGTGTTAAATTGTAAGCCAGAACATTTTCAAATAGACAATGTACGCTTTGTTAAGCCAGATGAGAATGGAAACAGAGGGGTCAGGTGTATGGAGTGAGCCAAGATGGTGATTTAGTAGGACAAGTTTTCCATAAAAGCATGTGATTGAGAACTAGATTTCTCTATAAATCTGTGATATATATCAAACACTAATGTGTAATATCCCTACTTCTGTATCAATCTATTGATATATAAACATGTAATACATTTCTCCTGCAAATGCAGCTACATATTTTTTGCTTTAGATACCCCTGCAAATTCATGCATATGGGTAATAGTTCTTAGCAGCAGGCAATAGACCATGTAAACAGTGAACATAGCACATAATGAAGCTCACAGAGAACAAATTTTATCACCAAATGCCAGTCAGCCAAGCCTCTTTGAGATGATCACCTCTTCGAGATGATTTCCTCATATATATTAGATAAATGAACAAAATATTTCTAAGTATGACAAAATAAATATCAATTTTTTAAACATTTTATCTGAAATTCAATGGAAATGAGCTTCGTTTGCTTCTCAGGGCATGGAAACACGTATAACATGATGTTTCTCTGTTTCTCTGTTCCCCACCTTATCGCACCATCTACATGCAATATTCTTCCCGCTATCACTATTCATTTTTCATGTGCCAAGTATTCATTAATTCTTTAACCTCAGTAGGTAGAAACCAGTTTATTTCTGCAGAACACTCAGCGCTGGGAAAGCCTTGCTCCATGTTCCCAGTGGTTAAGGCTGAATGTTAATACTCATGGCTTTTTTATTGATAAATCTGAATATAATCTATGCATCTGTCCAGGGAATGTTTCCAGTGGTGTTCTATGGTAGCCTTCTCCCCTTACGGGCTTATGTATTTTATCTTTTAAAACAAGTGTTACAGCGTTAACTTTTGACTTGGGTAAAATCTCCTGAAATCTAATGAATCACATATGTAACTCAGGGTGAGTTGCTGGAATTGGTTCTGTATCGTAAGTAATAATGTAAGGAAATAAATTGCTTGAGTCACTAGACTGTATTTTAACTTGGTGCTCACTTTTCTCCAGAGCAAATGTTTACACTAGAGGCAACATTATAATACTAAACCGTACCCAATCCCCTTTATAGCTTCTGGATACACACATTTATAGAGACTGTGAAGCAGATTTCTGTTTACAACCATTTTAACATTTCTTATTTGGTATTCTGCCTTTTCTTTTTTTTTTTACCTTGTGGAAACAGAGGTAAGATGCAGGGACAAATAGTGAGGAGGTTGTTACCTAAACAGTTTATGCTGAAAGGCAGCAGAGGACCAGTTACAGTGAGAACACACAAAGAGATGCAGAGATGTATTTCAGGCAGTTGGCATGAAATCCTGTAAGGGAACAAACATTGGTTCTGGTTCTTCTGGCTTCCTTGGTAAATACTGTGTAGACTAGCAAACATTAGTTTGTATTTAATTAAAGTAATGGTGTTTTAGCAGTAATTATTTACCCGAGCTCAGCCTGGCTTTCTGTGTAAACAGACAAGCTACACACGCTTTTACAAACACACTTGCGTGACGGGCCAATGCACTAGACAAGGGATCCCTCTTTTTGCATTTTATTTACTAAAGTATTGTTACGAGTGGGCACCTCTGGAACTGCTGAGCTGAGCCCGAATCTGAGGAAGGGCAGGGGTGGGGATTCAGTAAGAACTTGCCATTTTCTACCTGCTCTGACCATGGTGTCCTGTCCAGCATGGCACCCTTACTGTTCACCAGGCTGTTAAGCTTCCTTAAACTGAACCCTGTTCCCCCAGACATTGTCCATCTTAGCAGGCAGGCCTGGCCAAAGCTCACCTGCACTCTGGCCACAGAGTGTTTACTTCATGCAACACGAACCATAGAAGAGGCGGCAGAAAACAGCCACATCAGCTTTTCACTAACAAAAGGCTCTAGGATGCAAGGGAACCCCTAGGTAACCTGACAGGCCAGACTAATAGCCTTGACACTGGTCAGGTGCAGGCCAGGATCTTTCCACCGAAGTACTTCACTGTGTAAACACATGAGCATAAAAATGCTTTTGAAAAGAAATCTGCTTAAAGTTTAACCACTGATTCTCAGGGATTATGTTTTTGTTTCCTAAGGTTTTCTAAAGTTCTTTCAAACCATTAATGTGATAAAACAGTTTAGGTTTTAAGCACATTTTAAGATTTTGGAGTCTCTTTCTCTGTATGTTGTTATAAAGCCTTTACTTCTGTGCCTCCGTATACAAAAACCAAACCACAAAAAGCCAGGTTTGCTGACCCAGCCCCTGCGAGCCCCCCAGGCAGCCGCGATCCGCCGCGCCCCGCCGGCTCCGTGCCTCAATCTGCGTGTGCCCTGCCCCGCAGCTCCCCTCAGCCTCCACGTCTCCCGCCCCGTGTGTCGTTCCCTCGGGACGCTCCTCAGTGCCGCGACCGCCATGTCCCCGACGGGCTCCCCTCAGCACTGCCACCGCCTTGTCCCCTCGGCGTCCCCATTGCCCCCTGTTTCCGCCTCGTCCCACCCGCCGTTAACCTGCCCCCCTCCGCTCGGCCCCGCCCCGCCCGGCCCAGCCTGCCCTCGGCGCTCCCCCACCCCGGGCCTCCCCTCGGTGCCCCCGCTGCCGGCCCCGCCCGGCCCCTCCCAGCGGCGCTCCGCTGCCCTGCCCCCCGCAGCCGGGCGGGTCCGGGGCCGTGTCCGGGCCCGGGGCCGTGTCCGGGCAGGGGCGGTGCGGCCGGGCGTTCCCGTCCCCACCCCCCCGGGGCGGGGCAGGGCGGGCGGTGCACCGGGTGCCGGGGGCGCGGCCCCTCCCCTCCCCTCCCCTCCCTCCCTCCGCCCGGCTGCCGGTGGGGGCGGGGACGCGCCGCATGCCAGCGACGCCACCGGCGCCCGCCGCGGCCGGAGCAGGGGCCGGGAGCTGGGGAGGGGGACGCCGGTCCGGACCGGGCCCTTTGTCTGAAGCGGCTGGTGGGGTGTCTCGGCGGCGGCACCACCGTGAGGCGAGGAGAGGCGGCGCCGGGAGCCCCCACCCCCGGCCCAGCCTGGCCCCGGCTCATCATGTGACGCGGGTAAGTCGGTGGCGAGAGCCGCGGCTCCCCGGGCTGTCCCCATTCATTACCCGGGGACGGCGTCTGCGTCCGTCCGTCCGTCCGTGTGGTGCTGCCCGGGGAGAGAGGGGCGGGCGGACGGGCAGACACAGCGAGCGGGCAGACAGAGCGAGCGGGGACCCTGTGTCAGGGGAAGGAAACAGTTTCTCCTGCTCTGCTGCTTCTGCTCAGGTCTGTGCCGATTCCCTTTCTTACCGCAATAAACGGATAACGTGTAGGTTTTTTGCTGCTGTCCCAATCAGGTTTCTATTTCACAAAAAAAAAAAAACAAACCAACCAAATCGTTCCGGTACAGAAGTTAAATAATTTTAAAGAAAAGCGGGTGCACAGCGCACCCCGTCTATCCAATTCCTCTTTCTCCCCCTTCTTTCCCCAGCGCAGTCGGGGGTTAACGGCGGTGCCCTCCCGCCCTCCATCCCTCCTCCCATCCCATCCCTCCCCTCCATCCTTCCCGGTGCCCTGGTGGCATCAGTACCGGAGGGGGGTGGCGATGGGGTGTGTGTGCAGGGTGTTGGGGGCCGGCCCGAACTTTTCCCTCAACTTTCCCGCTGAGGTCTTAGAAGGGGGGCGAGAGGGGGGGGTGGGAGAAGGCGGTAAAAAAGAGGGGGGAAAAATGAAAAGCGATAAGCCAGGAGTGATGAGCGGCGAGCTGGGAGCGCCCAGCTCTTTGTGCTCCCGTCCCCGGGGCGGCCGCGGTGCCCCTGCGCCTTTGGGATGGGAAAGGTAATATTAAAGGAAGTGTTAAAAAAAAAAAAAAAATATATATATATATATATATATAAATAGGAGCGAAATACTCGGGGGGGGGGGGGGTATAGGTGTGTAACACTCTACGGGGGAAAAAAAAATCAATGTAATGATCTATGGGGGGGAATAAAGACCAAGAGCGTACCGCTACATTACCTTCTACCAAAATAATTATCTTTTCTAAAATAAATACTTGCTGTTTCAGAAGTCGGACGGCGTTGCTTGGGGGGCAGACTGCTGGTATTCACGTTAAAACCTATGCCCAGAGTGGCTGCGGGAGATGCGTGTGCCCGCTCTCCCCATGGCTTCGGTGTTCCCCTTGCGAACCCCACCAAGAGGTTTCTGTTGGGGGAATGCTCTGGGATGAAATTTGGGCTCCTGTCCGCCTCCAAAAGGATTTTTTTTTCTTTTGAGGGGGAGGGGGAAGGTGGATAGGAGCAGCCAAGATGGGTTATTTTATGTTCCCGTCCTCCCCCCCCCATGATTTGCAGGGTTGTGATGCTCCGCTCCAGACAGCGGGGTTTTTTTGGATCGTGCCATGGCAAATAAGATGATTCACACGCTTAGGGAGCAGGTACCAGCAGTTTGTTAGGGAGGCACTGAAGAGAAGTTCACTTGCACTCGGTTTTATGTCGGGCTTGTAAAATCCTGCAAGCTTTCGGCAGTCCCCCTGCATAAGTGAGTAAACCAGTTTATTTTTTAATTATCCACCGTGAAAGAAATGGTGATGTGCCCCTCCCGTGGTGTTCCCCCTGCTGTCCCCTTGCTGTCTCGCTCTCGGCAGGTAGATATCCGCGGCAACTTTGCGGGGTGGTTTTATGTAGCGCTGGCATAAGGGCTCCATTTTCTGCTTTCTGGTTGGTCTACAACTCCGAAATGCACAGGAACAGCGAAGTGGTTTTAGCGCTGGATTAGTAAGTGGGCTGAATAGGTCACAGAGGGGGCGATAGAGGCGTTTTATTAATGACGTAAGGCTGCATAAACCCGGTCTACTGATTTTTTTTTTTTTATTTCAATATATGGTTGTTGCGGGGGGGGGAGGGGGAATATCTCTCTAATGGGACGTAATCAACTTGAAACCGCTGACTGCAGCCTGGCGTGTCACCCAACGTCACCAAGTGGCCGCGCGGAGCCAAGGGAGCGGGGGTTTTGTGTTAGGATTATTTAGTATTTTTAGGGCTTTTCATTATTACTTGCTGTTCCCCCTGCCCGAGGCTTTGGCAGCCGGCCGGAGCTGCTACCGCTATGCTGCCGGCAGGTGCCGGCGCTGGAGCTTGGTGGGATGACATCACCCCTTCCAAAGCTGGAGCAGCACCCATGCGCACCCCTGCTCAGGCCGCCCCCCCCCGCTGCCTCCAGAGCAGCACTGGGAGCATCCGCCTTAGTATTTCTGACTGTTTTCTTTTTTCCTTTTATTATTCCTTTCCTCTTCCTTTCCCTTGCTGTGTCTGGTACCTGGAACTGAGTTGGGGGGAGGGGGGCACCTTCCTTCAGGCAAACCTCCTCATTAGGATTCGGACAGCTTTACAAGGTGGATTTACACACCCACTCCCCCTTTTCCCCCTTTTTTTTATCCCCCCCCCCCCCCCCCCCCCCCCGGGTTCGTGGAGAAGTCGATACTGTTCAGAGGTACTGCAAAAAAAAAAAAAAAAAAAAAAAGTGTTTTCTCTTCCGTCCCCCAGTTGTGTGTGGAAAAAGAGGCTTTTTGAGGAGGAGATGTGCTGTGGGGCATTTGATGAGTGGCTGCACATGTGCTGGAGGGGCTGGGAAGGAGTTTAGGATGTGGGAGATACTGTTTGGTTTGTGCTTCTGGGAGTGAGGCAGTGTCAGTGAGTGAAGGAGGGGGGGATGGGAAATGAGGTGTCTTTAATTTATTTCTCTCCCCAGTAATACTCAGTGGCAATATTTGCAGGCCTTCCTGCGACCTCTTGTAGAAAAGCCTTGGCTGGAAACGCCCCTGAGAGCCCAAGAAGGCTGGGTAACAACTTTTAAAAATAAACTTGAAGATTCCAGGACAGGCTAATCGTGGAGTCCTCTGCCAGCTGTTTCTCCCGGGGTGCTCAAGCAGAGCTCTGCTGCAGAGACCAGGCTGAGGTGTGGTGGGTAAGAACTAGCTCTTCTTCCCCCAGAAGGTGATGGAGCAGGGTCAGTGCAGGGCTTGGGCTGCAGAACCACTTGGTAGTGACCATCTCCACTCAGACCGAGGTGCTGGGTGATGGTACCCACCATAATTTAATAGAAGTGCAGACCATGTTTTTGAAGGAAGATAGGTATGCTCTCCTGTGTGTTTGGGGAGTTGGGTTCCACCAACACCATGGGGTTCCAGAAGGTCTGTGGAATTCAGTGCAAGTTTTGGCACTAGAAGGGCATCCCGTTGTTTAGATTTTGGGTAGTTCATGGCATAAACGGAAAGTGAATGCCTTTTCTCATCACTGGGTGGATGATGCCCGCTTAGCCTTCCCAAAGTTGCGGTGCTGTTGCCTCCGTGCTTCAGGCTGCTGGATCACTTCTGTCAGGCTTGTGTGGCAACTGGTGATGCTTTTCAGGATGGCCAGCCTCCTTGCTTGTTCCTTCAGTAAGTGTTGTCTGCATTGTGTAACAGGTCTTGTCAGTATAAGGTTGGTTTTGACCAAATCTTTGTTTGAATCAAGTGAAACAAGAGACTGTGAGGTGTTTGTTTATTAATAAAGCTGGGGAATTGTTTATTTTTACTGGTGTTTTGCTTGTGACTTTTGAAGTGGTGTATCTTGATTTATTTTGTTGGAGGGTGATTGTGTTTTGCCTTACCTTGATGTAACTACAAAGTGACTCAAAAATTAATTGAGTGAAATGTAAATTTCATTTTTAGAGAAGCTGAAATGGATGCAGCACTGAGACTTTGACCTTCTCAGCTTCTGACTAGTGGTTGTTTACTACAGCTGCAGCTGTGCGTCTTTGGAAGAGGAGGAGCTGCGAACACAAGCATGAAGCATGCTCACTTCCCCCAGCTAGAGAGGAGAGCTTAGAATGAGCATGCTGTTTCAAAGTGAGATGTAAAGAAAAGTATTGAGTAGTCAAGTTGTTGCCTTTCCTTTCCTTTTGTACAGTGTGTGCTGTGCTGTAACTGTAAGACAGATTTTGAGTCTTGGAAGTGCAAATGGGAAAGCATGAAATGACTATGGTTCCTATGCAGTGAAATTATCTTTTTACAAGTGAAATGCATACTTACGCTATAAAAAAGAGAAGGGCTTTTGCATGTAATACTAAGGGCACTTTCAGCATTTTTCATCAGTGGAAAAAACTCTGTGTAAGCTTATCCTCTGTTCAGCAGTTGAACTTTAGACTCCTCTTGTTTCAACTGAATGGTTTATTTATTTTTTTTTTTAGTTGGTACT